CAGCAGAGATATATAATGTTCCCCACTCTTATCCCCTGCTTCACTAGGGCTGAGCTTCATCTGGGCCTTTCTCATGGATGACAGATTTGGGGGTGTCTTAGTCTAAAAGCCCAGGGCTGTGACTTGATGTGCTCTGGTGAGGTTCACCTGGATGGGGTCACACCAAGAAGCAGAAAAAAATAGTTAGGACAGCTGTAGGAATCTGCTGGGCAAGGGGACTCAGTCAGGCCCCAGCCCTGGCATGGGTGGTGGAATAAAAGTAGCTGGTTTCTTCTGGGAGAAGATCCAACTTTGTGCTGTAGGATTTGCAGAGCTCTCACCAAGTGTGTGCTGGTGGGAAGATGAGGTTGGTCGTGGCTTCGTGTGCCTCTTGCCCTTTGCAGCTGTCACTTGTAGCCAATTATTTAAGCAGGCAGCAATTCCCTGCTTGGCAGGTGAGGATCAAAGCACATCAGAGAAGAAGGGAGTCTTGGAGTGTCCCTGACACCACATCTGTCCTGCTGTGGAGGCCTGAGCTGGGGACCCATGGTGTGTGTAGGTGTCGTGAGGAAGCTGCAGGCTCCAGGAGGGACAAACTCTGCTGCCCAGAGTCCCAGCAGATCCTGCCTCCTCCCAAAATGCACACTTGGAAGCTCAGCAGCTTTTCCTCCCTCCTGTCTGCTCTGTGTGCACTGAAATGTTGTTTTTCCCCACCCTCCCAAGACAACAATGAGATGAAAGCTCCGTGGCCCTGTATAACCCACGGGAGCTATTTGAATTGTGGCAATGCTTTTGGGTCCTCAGCCACCACTGGGATCCCATTCTCCTACATACTGTGCAAATTAGGAGGCCAGACTCTTCCCTACCCACAGGAACTGATCTGGCTGGGAGTTTGGAGTGGGTTTTGTGGCTGATGGCAAGAGCATTAGACTTTGGAATTTGCTTGGCTGGAGGAGATGACCCTTTCCTTCCGTATTCTGCATCCCTGTTTCCCTATTGCAAAGGGCTTAGAGCTTAAGGTGCTTCTGCCCATTTCCTCGTGTTTGCAGCATGGGTGGATCTAGCTGGATTAAAGTGAAGATTCTATTGCTGCTGATTTGTGTAGCACAAATCCACAGCAGGTTGGGGCACCCTCTGCACCACGTGGAGTCTCTTTGGTGCCCCAGTGTGAGTGCAGCATCCACTGCCTGGTGCCGGTGGGATGTGGATCAGGCCTGGCCATGTGGTCACATTTCTGTTAAATTAGCTGCCCCAACACAATCCAGAGCCTGTGCTGGCTTGGTGCCACTTCCAGAAGGACAGACCATGTCTGCTGTGGCCTGCAGTCCAGCAGGGCAGCAACTGTGTCCACTCCAGAAGGAATTCTGGAGGGAGCTGTCAGGCAGAGCCTCTGCTAGGTCAGTGCTCCTTGGGGTGGCTGCAGCCATCGTGCTCTGGGTGAGGCTTATTCACCTGTGCTGCAGTTACACTTAAACCATGTAAAGCTTCTCCATGTTGCCCTGTCTTTCCTGTCCTGGCAGTAGCTGTGGAAAAGAGCCTAGGAGCAGGGCAGCTAATGCCATCTGACATTCCACTGAGATAAAGGAAACCCAAGCACGTCACGGGTCCCTGTGAGGTGACAGCAGAGGAGGGTTTTCCCAGCACGTTGGTGACCTACTTGCACGGTGCATTTCTGCTGCACCTAGTTTTCCAGGCTGCTGGTGTCCTTGAGCAGGTGCTTCCAGCTGGCTTGTGCTGCTCTTTGCCCTGAGAGATGGCTGCTTGAAGCAGGGCTGCAGCCCAGCATCTCCCTGGGCTCCAGCCCAGGTCTCCTGAGCTGAGAAATTTATGATCCAACGGGACATGCCTGAGTTTCAGCCCAATGCACTGAGCTCTGTTGTGTAGCTTAACTAGGAGCCCTGAAATACCATTTATATTCCCAGCTTGAGAGCCAAATATAAAGTTATTAAGAGGCCTCTTCTTGCCCACATTTAGCATGCCAATGATTTTCATCTCAGGAGGTTTTGCACCCAGTGAAGGCAGGAGAGCTGCTTTTCCCAAAACCCGTGAAGAAAAGTGAGCATCTGGAGGAAGGGAGCAGGTAGTGATTTTTTTTCTGTTGGCTTTACATGGTGGCCATGCTGTGCTGGTATTGAGAGGTCAGCAGGATCTCCTGAGGGTTAACAAGAGCTGAGGCCTGGGATGTGCAGCTTCCTGCCCCACAAATGTGGGGCCAGCATGGGTCTACCTCCCCAGGGCACCCAAACAAGGTTCTCAGCTAACAGCACCACACCTGCTCCATCTTTCCCCACCATGGGCATCTAGCAGAAAAGTGTTTTATATTCATAGAATCACTAAGGTTGGAAAAGACCTCTAAGCTCATCAAGTTCAACCTTCAACACAACACCACTGTGCCCCCTAAACCACATCCCCAGGTGCCATGTCTATGTGGTTTTTTTGAACACCTCCTGGGATGGTGACTCCACCACTTCCCTGGGCAGCCTGTTCAAGTGCCTGACCACTCTTTCAGTAAAGAAATTGTTCCTTATATCCAATCTAAACCTCCCCTGGCACAACTTGGGGCCATTTCCTCTCATCCTGAAGATGGGCTCACCTCCAGTGTAACACAGCCAGGTACTCTTCTCCCAGTAATAGCTTTACAGCTCTTACTTGGAGCTCTGGTGCATCTCCTCAAAGGATCCAGTCTCCATTTACAGGCAGGGTGAGTGAGGATTTGGGAGCTTCAGCCCCTGGATTTAGGAGTTTCAGCCCCTGGGACCAGTGGGATGTGTGGCCTTGGTGCTCCACAGCCGATGCCTTGGCCTGCAGTCCAGTCACCCTGGAATATGTGGCTTGTCTTTTGCAAGTGCCACCTCCTTCTGTCTGTTTGTTGTGGTGTTTGTTTTGTTTTGTTTTAAAGTCCACAAAAACCTGTAAGTAAAATGAGCTTGATCTTTTGTATTGTTAAAACCAGTGAAAGAAAGTAGGTGTATTTAGTGGGTGGACTATAGACCCGCAGCCTTTTTTCAGGTCTTTTCTCACTAGGAACAGGCCTTTGGAGAACATTGTTTTCAGGGCTCCTCCTGAGCTGCCCCGACCTGTTGCTCCTGCCTTGCATGAGGTGTTTGTGCCCCCCTTGTGCTTCAGGTTTTAACAAAGTTAATGAGGTGTTAACAGCAGGGGAGGGAGGGGGGGGAAGCTCCTCTGCCTTGATGGCAGGGAAACCACTTGTGAATTGATCAGACTTCTTAAAAGTGTGAGGCTGGAGTTCTTGTGTTAGGGAAAGGAAAAGAAGTCCCTTTTTGAAACGAGTGTCCCCACGTGTTCCTGCACTGGTTGAATTAATTGTATTTTAAAAAGCATTTTGAAAGCAGTTTATCGGTATGAGGTGCTTTTTAAAGAGGCAAGGAGGAGGAAAGCAGGAGTG